TGGAAACTTTTGGGGGGCCACTTGGGGCATCTTTTGGGTCTCTTTGGAGCATCTTGGGGCCTCTTGGGGGCCTCATGGGGTCTCCTGGGAGCCTCTTTGGGCCTCCTGGGGGCCGCTTGGGGCGGAAGGCTCGGATTTCGTGTTCCCTCTTTTGAACCCCTTTTGGAGGCGTCTTGGGGCCCTCTTGGACCGTTTTGGGCGCCTCTTGGGCCGTATTGGGACCCTCTTGGGCCGTTGTGGAGGTCTCTTTTGGCCGTCTTGGGGCGGTCTTGGGGGCATCTAGGGCCGTCAGGGAGCGTCGGGAAGCCGAAAAGGCGAGAACGCCAAAATCCTTCAAAAACCAAAGGAGAATCAATGAGTTTGGCCTTCTGGGGCCCTCTTGGTAGGCCTCTTGGAAACCTCCTTGGGCGTCTTGGAGACCTCTTGGGCCGTCTGGAGGGCATCTTGAGCGTCTTGGAGCGATCGTTCGGCAGCTCGGGGCCCCCTTGGACCGTCTTGGAGGCCGCTTGGGGCCCTCTTGGCGCGTCTTGGGGCCCTCCTTGGGCGTCAAGAACGCATGCCGCAATACTTCCCAGAGCCCCGAGGGCACGCGACAGGACCTGTGAGGACACGCCCACTCCGTGCCCAGCGGCACGGTGGCGGACTTCAACAAGAGCAAGTCGGAGGCGTCCCTGAAGGAGCCGGTTCCGAAGGCCCACCGCGTGGACGCGACGAGGCTGGTCTATTAGGCGAAGGGGTGCGCCTGAGAGCCTTACCCCATCACATGTTGTCCGGGACTCCAGCGAGCCTGCTTGGGCTCACTGTTCGCTCGGACGAGCCACCCGCTGAGGCACGCGAGATTGTCGCGACCAGAGGGGAGAGTGCAAACTTTTTTCGAGTCACTGAGATATTGGCCACAGCCGCCCAAGGTGCTCACCGCCCGAGGCTTTCCCTGCGAATCCTCCTGGTGAGGCTGGATACCCCGTGCGTCAGGACAACTGAGCGGCACCTGCTTGTCCTGCTCCCTCAGCGCCGCACGCCGCCATGGGTAAGGCCCCGTACCGCCGTGCTCCGTCCGTACGACCCTTGCGACAGGGGCCCCCACCCACCCCCCGAGGAAGCGTTTGAGTTTGCACGGGGGGACGCGTGCTCGCAACGGTTTTTCGGACCAAGAACCAGGGCACAATCACCATCCGTCGCCCTTCTGGCTCGAGGCGTTTGCCTTTGCCGCCGCAGCCTCCGTGGACCGTAGCACCCTGCGTAACACCACCGCACGAGCCATGCGGGGCCTCGCCCGCTGCGCCGTGCTCGCCGCGGCCCCCGCCGCCCTGGGCTTCCAAGTCCTGGACGCCGAGGCCGGGCAGCAGCAGCAGAGCCTGCGGGCGCGCGCGGACGGGCTGGGCAGCGCGTCCGGCGTCGCCGGGCACGAGGTCGCCCTGGACGAGACCAGCGTGCAGCAGTCCTCCGTCGTGCTGGACGAGATCAGCGCGCAGCAGTCCTCCGTCGTGCTGGACGAGATCAGCGCGCAGCAGATCTCGAGCCGCAGCGTCCAGCAGGTGAATGCGGAGAGCCCCATCGCACAGCTCAGTGACGAGGTGAGGGAACGGCTGCGGAAGATGACGGGCGCCAAGGACGACGCGACCCTGGCCGCGGCGATGTTCCCAGGGTCGGCCGAGGGCAGGCCGGTGCTCGTGGCGCCCCCCTACCTGCGCAACCAGCCCGCGTCCCGGCCCACGGCCGAGCGCGCCGCGAGCCTGCTCTCGTTCGGCGCCGGCGACCGGTCGGCCGCGAAGGCGGCCGGCGCCGGGGCGGGACTCGCGGAGTTCGCGCCCTCCGCCGAGTTCCAGGCCGAGGCCTCCGGCGAGGCGGCCAGGGCCGCGGGCGCCGCGGAGGCCGCCGCGGAGGCCGCGGGCGCGCTGCCCTGGGGCGTCGGCTCGCCGCGCACCGGCGACTCGCTGCCCAACTTCCACTACTCCAGCATGCCGATGATTGACGGCCCCAAGGACTTCGGGAAGCGAAGAGTGACACATAAACCCACAAGCTCGGAGGTCCGCGCGGATTGCTCGGATCCGCGCTGGACCCCCCTGGCGACGCCTCCCCTGGCGCGCGCCGCGCGCCAGGGAGGGAGGTCCAGCGCCGATCCGAGAAATCCGCGAGGACCTCCGAGTCTTTGTGTTTATGCCACTCTTCGCTCCCCTGCTTAAAGGAGTGGGAGTACAGTCTGGAGAGCGGGGACAACATCCGGAGTTTCAGCAGCGCCCAGCAGGACGTGAAGCTCGTGACGCAGGTCTTCGAGAACATCACCAACGGGTTCTACGTGGACTCGAACGCCGGGGACGGCGAGATCAACAGCAACACGCTGCTGCTAGAGCTCGCTGGCTGGCGCGGCCTCATCATGGAGCCCCGCCCCTACTGGTACATGAACCTGTGGAGCAAGTGGCGCAAGGCCTGGCTGTTCCTGGGGTGCCTCTCGCCGCACGAGAACTCCACGAAGATCGGCTTCGACACCGACGGAAACATCGACATGCTGAGCGGGCACATGATCCACGCCCACCCCATGAAGTCCTTCATGGCCGAGATGGGCGGGCGCAAGACGATCGATTTCTGGAACCTGAACAGCGGCAACTACGAGGCCGAGATCCTGAACGAGACCCTATTGGGCTCTGGCAGCTTCCTCGAGTTTGGCGTCGTCCTCGTCCGCTTCGACGGCCGTCGTGCGGGGCGTGGAACAGAGCCGTACGTGCAGATGAGGTCGAGGGACGCGACAGAGGAACTCATCTTCGAGATCTGCCACAACGCCAGCTTGAGGCACATTGGCGGCCTCGACGCGTACTGGATCAACCACGTCGAGCCGCGCTACGGATTCAATGACGAGGTCTGGGTGAACCCCAGGTATTTCGAGAGGCGGGGCATCCCGACGCCCACGTCGCTCAAGTCGGCGCCGCCCCCGCCACTGGCCGACTACTCCCCGCACACGTCCGCTGACTTCTCGTGGGACTACGGCTACAGCAGGTTCGAGGAGATCGGCAGGATCAAGCTGTATCGAAGACGCCTACGGCGAATCACCGCCGCCCTCTGCCGTTTGGAATTGCCCGTGTGGTCGAACGTTGTGGCCAGAGCTCTGCCAGGTTACACATCGGACTATGTGTTCCCCAGCCGTTGGGGAAACCCGTCGGGAAACACTTGGGGGGAGGAGGAGGAGGAGGAGGAGCAGGAGCAGGAGGAGAAGGATGAGGGGGCATCTTCGGAGCCTCCAGTGAGCTTCTGGGACGTCTTCGCTGCCTCTTAGGGGCGTTTGGGGGGCTTCTTGGGCACCTCTCTGGCCGTCTTAGGGCCTTCCTGGCCCGTCTGACACCGTCGGAAGCCGTCTTGGGGGCCTCTCTGAACCGACTTGGTGCCCTCTTGGGGTGCTCCAGGGCCGTCGTGGAGGCCATCTCGCGCGTCTTGAAGGCCTCGGGCTGGTTTGGGGGCCGTCTTGGGGGCCTCTTGGGCAGTTCTGGGGCCATCTTCCCTCTTGAGCGATCTTGGAAGGCTCTTGGGCCGTCTCGGGCAGCCGGAAGGCCGAATAAGCAAACGCCACAACCTGTCAAAACCCCGGGAAAATCTCATCTTGGGCGATCTTGGATGCCATCTTGGCCGTCTTGGAGGCCATCGAGGCTGCCTTGGAGACGTTGGTTGCGCAGCGGCGGGGCCTTCCCGATGGCTGGCGGCATGTACTGAAGCCCCAGGGGGAGTCCTGTTGGAAAAGAACCAAAACCTCTCGCCATTGTGCCTGGGTAATGGGTATGAAGCCCATTGGATATTCGTGGGATCTCGTGGGAGGCCTATTCGTGGGATCTCGTGGGAGGCCTCTCGGAGGCCTCTCGGAGGCAGTTTGGACGCCTCTTGGAAACTTTTGGGGGGCCACTTGGGGCATCTTTGGGGTCTCTTTGGAGCATCTTGGGGCCTCTTGGGGGCCTCATGGGGTCTCCTGGGAGCCTCTTTGGGCCTCCTGGGGGCCGCTTGGGGTGGAAGGCTCGGATTTCGTGTTCCCTCTTTTGAACCCCTTTTGGAGGCGTCTTGGGGCCCTCTTGGACCGTTTTGGGCGCCTCTTGGGCCGTATTGGGGCCCTCCTGGGCCGTTGTGGAGGTCTCTTTTGGCCGTCTTGGGGCGGTCTTGGGGGCATCTAGGGCCGTCAGGGAGCGTCTGGAAGCCGAAAAGGCGAGAACGCCAAAATCCTTCAAAAACCAAAGGAGAATCAATGAGTTTGGCCTTCTGGGGCCCTCTTGGTAGGCCTCTTGGAAACCTCCTTGGGCGTCTTGGAGACCTCTTGGGCCGTCTGGGGGGCATCTTGAGCGTCTTGGAGCGATCGTTCGGCAGCTCGGGGCCCCCTTGGACCGTCTTGGAGGCCGCTTGGGGCCCTCTTGGCGCGTCTTGGGGCCCTCCTTGGGCATCAAGAACGCATGCCGCAATCCTTCCCAGAGCCCCGGGGGCACGCGACAGGACCTGTGAGGACACGCCCACTCCGTGCCCAGCGGCACGGTGGCGGACTTCAACAAGAGCAAGTCGGAGGCGTCCCTGAAGGAGCCGGTTCCGAAGGCCCACCGCGTGGACGCGACGAGGCTGGTCTATTAGGCGAAGGGGTGCGCCTGAGAGCCTTACCCCATCACATGTTGTCCGGGACTCCAGCGAGCCTGCTTGGGCTCACTGTTCGCTCGGACGAGCCACCCGCTGAGGCACGCGAGATTGTCGCGACCAGAGGGGAGAGTGCAAACTTTTTTCGAGTCACTGAGATGTTGGCCGCAGCCGCCGCCCGAGGTGCTCACCGCCCGAGGCTTTCCCTGCGAATCCTCCTGGTGAGGCTGGATACCCCGTGCGTCAGGACAACTGAGCGGCACCTGCTTGTCCTGCTCCCTCAGCGCCGCACGCCGCCATGGGTAAGGCCCCGTACCGCCGTGCTCCGTCCGTACGACCCTTGCGACAGGGGCCCCCGCCCACCCCCCGAGGAAGCGTTTGAGTTTGCACGGGGGGACGTGTGCTCGCAACGGTTTTTCGGACCAAGAACCAGGGCACAATCACCATCCGTCGCCCTTCTGGCTCGAGGCGTTTGCCTTTGCCGGCGCAGCCTCCGTGGACCGTAGCACCCTGCGTAACACCACTGCACGAGCCATGCGGGGCCTCGCCCGCTGCGCCGTGCTCGCCGCGGCCCCCGCCGCCCTGGGCTTCCAAGTCCTGGACGCCGAGGCCGGGCAGCAGCAGCAGAGCCTGCGGGCGCGCGCGGACGGGCTGGGCAGCGCGTCCGGCGTCGCCGGGCACGAGGTCGCCCTGGACGAGACCAGCGTGCAGCAGTCCTCCGTCGTGCTGGACGAGATCAGCGCGCAGCAGTCCTCCGTCGTGCTGGACGAGATCAGCGCGCAGCAGATCTCGAGCCGCAGCGTCCAGCAGGTGGATGCGGAGAGCCCCATCGCACAGCTCAGTGACGAGGTGAGGGAACGGCTGCGGAAGATGACGGGCGCCAAGGACGACGCGACCCTGGCCGCGGCGATGTTCCCAGGGTCGGCCGAGGGCAGGCCGGTGCTCGTGGCGCCCCCCTACCTGCGCAACCAGCCCGCGTCCCGGCCCACGGCCGAGCGCGCCGCGAGCCTGCTCTCGTTCGGCGCCGGCGACCGGTCGGCCGCGAAGGCGGCCGGCGCTGGGGCGGGGCTCGCGGAGTTCGCGCCCTCCGCCGAGTTCCAGGCCGAGGCCTCCGGCGAGGCGGCCAGGGCCGCGGGCGCCGCGGAGGCCGCCGCGGAGGCCGCGGGCGCGCTGCCCTGGGGCGTCGGCTCGCCGCGCACCGGCGACTCGCTGCCCAACTTCCACTACTCCAGCATGCCGATGATTGACGGCCCCAAGGACTTCGGGAAGCGAAGAGTGACACATAAACCCACAAGCTCGGAGGTCCGCGCGGATTGCTCGGATCCGCGCTGGACCCCCCTGGCGACGCCTCCCCTGGCGCGCGCCGCGCGCCAGGGAGGGAGGTCCAGCGCCGATCCGAGAAATCCGCGAGGACCTCCGAGTCTGAATGATTATGCCACTCTTCGCCCCCCTGCTTAAAGGAGTGGGAGTACAGTCTGGAGAGCGGGGACAACATCCGGAGTTTCAGCAGCGCCCAGCAGGACGTGAAGCTCGTGACGCAGGTCTTCGAGAACATCACCAACGGGTTCTACGTGGACTCGAACGCCGGGGACGGCGAGATCAACAGCAACACGCTGCTGCTAGAGCTCGCTGGCTGGCGCGGCCTCATCATGGAGCCCCGCCCCTACTGGTACATGAACCTGTGGAGCAAGTGGCGCAAGGCCTGGCTGTTCCTGGGGTGCCTCTCGCCGCACGAGAACTCCACGAAGATTGGCTTCGACACCGACGGAAACATCGACATGCTGAGCGGGCACATGATCCACGCCCACCCCATGAAGTCCTTCATGGCCGAGATGGGCGGGCGCAAGACGATCGATTTCTGGAACCTGAACAGCGGCAACTACGAGGCCGAGATCCTGAACGAGACCCTATTGGGCTCTGGCAGCTTCCTCGAGTTTGGCGTCGTCCTCGTCCGCTTCGACGGCCGTCGTGCGGGGCGTGGAACAGAGCCGTACGTGCAGATGAGGTCGAGGGACGCGACAGAGGAACTCATCTTCGAGATCTGCCACAACGCCAGCCTGAGGCACATTGGCGGCCTCGACGCGTACTGGATCAACCACGTCGAGCCGCGCTACGGATTCAAGGACGAGGTCTGGGTGAACCCCAGGTATTTCGAGAGGCGGGGCATCCCGACGCCCACGTCGCTCAAGTCGGCGCCGCCCCCGCCACTGGCCGACTACTCCCCGCACACGTCCGCTGACTTCTCGTGGGACTACGGCTACAGCAGGTTCGAGGAGATCGGCAGGATCAAGCTGTATCGAAGACGCCTACGGCGAATCACCGCCGCCCTCTGCCGTTTGGAATTGCCCGTGTGGTCGAACGTTGTGGCCAGAGCTCTGCCAGGTTACACATCGGACTATGTGTTCCCCAGCCGTTGGGGAAACCCGTCGGGAAACACTTGGGGGGAGGAGGAGGAGGAGCAGGAGCAGGAGGAGAAGGATGAGGGGGCATCTTCGGAGCCTCCAGTGAGCTTCTGGGACGTCTTCGCTGCCTCTTAGGGGCGTTTGGGGTCTTCTTGGGCACCTCTCTGGCCGTCTTAGGGCCTTCCTGGCCCGTCTGACACCGTCGGAAGCCGTCTTGGGGGCCTCTCTGAACCGACTTGGGGCCCTCTTGGGGTGCTCCAGGGCCGTCGTGGAGGCCATCTCGCGCGTCTTGAAGGCCTCGGGCTGGTTTGGGGGCCGTCTTGGGGGCCTCTTGGGCAGTTCTGGGGCCATCTTCCCTCTTGAGCGATCTTGTAAGGCTCTTGGGCCGTCTCGGGCAGTCGGAAGGCCGAATAAGCAAACGCCACAACCTATCAAAACCCCGGGGAAATCTCATCTTGGGCGAACTTGGATGCCATCTTGGCCGTCTTGGAGGCCATCGAGGCTGTCTTGGAGACGTTGGTTGCGCAGCCGCGGGGCCTTCCCGATGGCCGGCGGCATGTACTGAAGCCCCAGGGGGAGTCCTGTTGGAAAAGAACCAAAGACAAGCCGCAGGATCTAGCACGCCAGGCTCCCCTGTGATAAATCAGCAGGGGGCGGCGGATCGAATGGCCGTCTGCCCATCTCGCCACCGTGCCTGGGTTATGGGTATGAAGCCCATTGGATATTCGTGGGATCTCGTGGGGGGCCTCTCGGAGGCCTCTTGGAGGAAGTTTGGACGCCTCTTGAGGACTTTTGGGGGGCCACTTGGGGCATCTTTGGGAGCCTCTTGGGGCCTCTTGGGGGCCTCGTGGGGTCTCCTGGGCGCCTTTTTGGGCCTCCTGGGGGCCGCTTGGGGCGGAAGGCTCGGATTTCGTGTTCCCTCTTTTGAACCCCTTTTGGAGCCGTCTTGGGGCCCTCTTGGACCGTTTTGGGCGCCTCGTGGGCCGTATTGGGGCCCTCTCGGGCCGTTGTGGGGCCCTCGTGGAGGCTCAGAGGATTGGGCCCAGGACCTGTGAGGACACGCCCACTCCGTGCCCAGCGGCACGGTGGCGGACTTCAACAAGAGCAAGTCGGAGGCGTCCATGAAGGAGCCGGTTCCGAAGGCCCACCGCGTGGACGCGACGAGGCTGGTCTATTAGGCGAAGGGGTGCGCCCGAGAGCCTTACCCCATCACATGTTGTCCGGGACTCCAGCGAGCCTGCTTGGGCTCACTGTTCGCTCGGACGAGCCACCCGCTGAGGCACGCGAGATTGTCGCGACCAGAGGGGAGAGTGCACACTTTTTTCGAGTCGCTGAGATATTGGCCGCAGCCACCCGAGGTGCTCACCGCCCGAGGCTTTCCCTGCGAATCCTCCTGGTGAGGCTGGATACCCCGTGCGTCAGGACAACTGAGCGGCACCTGCTTGTCCTGCTCCCTCAGCGCCGCACGCCGCCATGGGTAAGGCCCCGTACCGCCGTGCTCCGTCCGGACGACCCTTGCGACAGGGGCCCCCACCCACCCCCCGAGGAAGCGTTTGAGTTTGCACGGGGGGACGCGTGCTCGCAACGGTTTTTCGGACCAAGAACCAGGGCACAATCACCATCCGTCGCCCTTCTGGCTCGAGGCGTTTGCCTTTGCCGGCGCAGCCTCCGTGGACCGTAGCACCCTGCGTAACACCACCGCACGAGCCATGCGGGGCCTCGCCCGCTGCGCCGTGCTCGCCGCGGCCCCCGCCGCCCTGGGCTTCCAAGTCCTGGACGCCGAGGCCGGGCAGCAGCAGCAGAGCCTGCGGGCGCTCGCGGACGGGCTGGGCAGCGCGTCCGGCGTCGCCGGGCACGAGGTCGCCCTGGACGAGACCAGCGTGCAGCAGTCCTCCGTCGTGCTGGACGAGATCAGCGCGCAGCAGTCCTCCGTCGTGCTGAACGAGATCAGCGCGCAGCAGATCTCGAGCCGCAGCGTCCAGCAGGTGGATGCGGAGAGCCCCATCGCACAGCTCAGTGACGAGGTGAGGGAACGGCTGCGGAAGATGACGGGCGCCAAGGACGACGCGACCCTGGCCGCGGCGATGTTCCCAGGGTCGGCCGAGGGCAGGCCGGTGCTCGTGGCGCCCCCCTACCTGCGCAACCAGCCCGCGTCCCGGCCCACGGCCGAGCGCGCCGCGAGCCTGCTCTCGTTCGGCGCCGGCGACCGGTCGGCCGCGAAGGCGGCCGGCGCTGGGGGGGGACTCGCGGAGTTCGCGCCCTCCGCCGAGTTCCAGGCCGAGGCCTCCGGCGAGGCGGCCAGGGCCGCGGGCGCCGCGGAGGCCGCCGCGGAGGCCGCGGGCGCGCTGCCCTGGGGCGTCGGCTCGCCGCGCACCGGCGACTCGCTGCCCAACTTCCACTACTCCAGCATGCCGATGATTGACGGCCCCAAGGACTTCGGGAAGCGAAGAGTGACACATAAACCCAAAAGCTCGGAGGCCCGCGCGGATTGCTCGGATCCGCGCTGGACCCCCCTGGCGGTGCCGCCCCTGGCGCGCGCCGCGCGCCAGGGAGGGAGGTCCAGCGCCGATCCGAGAAATCCGCGAGGACCTCCAAGTCTTTATGTTTATGCCGCTCTTCGCTCCCCTGCTTAAAGGAGTGGGAGTACAGTCTGGAGAGCGGGGACAACATCCGGAGTTTCAGCAGCGCCCAGCAGGACGTGAAGCTCGTGACGCAGGTCTTCGAGAACATCACCAACGGGTTCTACGTGGACTCGAACGCCGGGGACGGCGAGATCAACAGCAACACGCTGCTGCTAGAGCTCGCTGGCTGGCGCGGCCTCATCATGGAGCCCCGCCCCTACTGGTACATGAACCTGTGGAGCAAGTGGCGCAAGGCCTGGCTGTTCCTGGGGTGCCTCTCGCCGCACGAGAACTCCACGAAGATCGGCTTCGACACCGACGGAAACATCGACATGCTGAGCGGGCACATGATCCACGCCCACCCCATGAAGTCCTTCATGGCCGAGATGGGCGGGCGCAAGACGATCGATTTCTGGAACCTGAACAGCGGCACCTACGAGGCCGAGATCCTGAACGAGACCCTGTTGGGCTCTGGCAGCTTCCTCGAGTTTGGCGTCGTCCTCGTCCGCTTCGACGGCCGTCGTGCGGGGCGTGGAACAGAGCCGTACGTGCAGATGAGGTCGAGGGACGCGACAGAGGAACTCATCTTCGAGATCTGCCACAACGCCAGCCTGAGGCACATTGGCGGCCTCGACGCGTACTGGATCAACCACGTCGAGCCGCGCTACGGATTCAAGGACGAGGTCTGGGTGAACCCCAGGTATTTCGAGAGGCGGGGCATCCCGACGCCCACGTCGCTCAAGTCGGCGCCGCCCCCGCCACTGGCCGACTACTCCCCGCACACGTCCGCTGACTTCTCGTGGGACTACGGCTACAGCAGGTTCGAGGAGATCGGTAGGATCAAGCTGTATCGAAGACGCCTACGGCGAATCACCGCCGCCCTCTGCCGTTTGGAATTGCCCGTGTGGTCGAACGTTGTGGCCAGAGCTCTGCCAAGTTATCGGACGATGTGTTCCCCGGCCGTTGGGGAAACCCGTCGGGGAACACTTGGGGGAGAATGGCGGGGAAGATCGGGAGAGAGAGGAGGAGGAGGATGAGGAGGAGGAGGAGGAGGAGGAGGAGGAGCAGCAGGAGGAGGAGGAGGAGAAGGGGGCATCTTGGGAGCCTCTGGGGGCACTCTTGGCGCCTCCTGAGAGCTTCCTGGGGCATCTTGGGGGCCTCTTGAGGGCGTTTTGGGGCTTCTTTAGGATCTAACACGCCAGGCACCCCTGTGATAAATCAACAGGGGGCGGCGGATCGAATGGCCGTCTGCCCGTCCCGCCGCCGTGCCTGGGTTATGGGTATGAAGCCTGTTGGACATTCGTGGGATCTCGCGGGAAGCCTCTCGGAGACCTCGTGGAGACAGTTTGGACGCCACTTGGGGGCGTTTGGGGGGCTACTTGGGACGTCGTTTGGGCCTCTTGGGAGCCTCTTGGGGCCTCTTGGGGGCCTCGTGGGGTCTCCTGGGCGCCTCTTTGGGCCTCCTGGGGGCCGCTTGCGGCGGAAGACCCGAATTTCGTGTTTCCTCTTTTGGGGCCGTTTTGGGTCCCTCTTGGGCAGTTTTGGGGCCCTCGTGAAGGCCTCGTTGGCCGTCTTGGGGCGGTCTTGGGCCTCTTGGAGGCAGTTTGGACGCCTCTTAGGGGACTTTCCACTTCGGGCATCTTTTGGGTCTCTTGGGAGCCTCTTGGGGCCTCTTGGGGGCCTCGTGGGGTCTCCTGGGCGCCTTTTTGGGCCTCCTGGGGGCCGCTTGGGGCGGAAGGCTCGGATTTCGTGTTCCCTCTTTTGAACCCCTTTTGGAGCCGTCTTGGGGCCCTCTTGGACCGTTTTGGGCGCCTCTTGGGCCGTATTGGGGCCCTCTCGGGCCGTTGTGGGGCCCTCGTGGAGGCTCAGAGGATTGGGCCCAGGACCTGTGAGGACACGCCCACTCCGTGCCCAGCGGCACGGTGGCGGACTTCAACAAGAGCAAGTCGGAGGCGTCCCTGAAGGAGCCGGTTCCGAAGGCCCACCGCGTGGACGCGACGAGGCTGGTCTATTAGGCGAAGGGGTGCGCTCGAGAGCCTTACCCCATCACATGCTGTCCGGGACTCCAGCGAGGCTGCTTGGGCTCACTGTTCGCTCGGACGAGGCACCCGCCGAGGCACGCGAGATCTGTCGCGACCAGAGGGGAGAAGAAAGAACCAGGACATCAACCAGCTTCAGACCAGCCGCCAGCGCTTGAGTGGCAAACGCAAGATCACCATCAGAAGCACCAGAGGCCGCCGCACGGGTGGGGCTCCCAACCC